TTATATGGTATGGAATAGCTCTTTGGTCAGTTTGGGTTAGCTGTGCTAGCTGTGCTGTACTCCCAGCTTGTTATGCACCTGGACGAGCAGAAGCAGCTCAAAAAGTCCTTGAGTAGTCTGAGCACTACTTGGCAACAGCTGAAAACATGAGAGTGTTATCAACATTCTTCTGGTACTAAATCCAAAACACAGCACTATGCTAGCTACTGTGAAGAAAATTAACTCTATCCCAGCCGAAACCAGGACACTCTATTATGAAACTTGTAATTAATTACTTCGTACATCTTACGAATTAATGTGATTCTCCCAGCTCGTGGTAAAAAGGTCTCTTTCAGAACCTGAACTTTATGGCACAGCAGAAGATATCCTTGAACGTCTCTTTCCTTGTTCCTCTTTAGGTAACATAGATGGCTATTTCACTGCCATAATGTTGAAGAAATCAAGAGTGAAACTACTGAAACAAGAGATAATACCTTTTCCAACAACCTCCATGATGAGGAACCTTTTGGTTGTGCATGTGAGTGAGTCAGCGTGTACTAAAGAGCTGTATTTCTGCCTTCAAAACAAAAAGTCCCAGGAAAGGCTGGACTGGCTTTACTCTGACAGTCTCAAATAGCAGAAAAACTTCTCCAAATGTACAAACCCAGGCACATTTGATACTAACAAACTTAAATCTTTTATGTAAGTTACTGGCCATACTTTGTTTTCAACTCTGATAACCTCTGAAAGCAAAATTAAAAGCCTGTTACCCTCCTGTAAGCCACTTTTCTTCAATGTAAAACTAATATTAACCAGAGCTCTGTCATTCAGTAATTAATTTCCTTTTGTCTTTGAACTTCTTAGTATGGTGTGGATAGTAACATTGCCTCTTTGTTTCACGCACAGGTGAGCGTATCTGGTAATGAACTTTGCCTGATGACCTCTCATCTGGAGAGCACTAAAAATCACTCTAAGGAGCGTATGAAGCAACTGCAAATAGTTTTAAACAGAATGCAGGAGGAATCTGAGTCCACCACTGTTATATTTGGAGGGGATACAAACCTCAGAGACAGCGAGGTAAATAGAAATGAGCAACCTCGTTATTTTGAGAAGGTATTCTGACAAAATCTTCTCAGGCTTTTCTGTTGTCTTTATGAGAAATGACCTGTTTGGGCAGAACACAGATGTGCAACATTTATTCATAAAAAGCGGAAGCATGACTACGTAGAAGCTATGCTGAGGCATTGTTATAGCTGAGGGCAGTATGTGAAGAGCTCCCCCCCCACCCAATGACAAAATGCTTTATTGGCAATATTTATATCTGAGAAGATGCAGGGATAGTTGATGGAGTTTCAACTTCAAAAACATTTTCTCATTTTGAGAACGTGATCTTTACTTGCTCAGCTCTCTGATTCTCAGACAGTTAATGCTTGTAGAGTCTATGAAAGAAGACGGTGCTCTGGAGAAGTAGATTTTGGGAGTTTAAAATTAATCCCTCATCATAGAGACATTCGAAATTACAGGTTGTTTTTGGCTGCTGCTATTAAAAGCATTTGTGCATTATTACTAAAAGGTCAGTGTTTCATCTTCCCCTATTGTGAAATTCCAGTGCTGTGAACTGGAACAACATTGTTTCAGAGAACATGGTGTTGACCCCCATACCTCAAGATATCGGAGCTGAACATTTAGCTTGTAACATGTTTTGGATTTAGAAAGTGCTACAGGAATTGGTCATGCTTTAGAGTATCCTGAGAAATAACCACAGTTTAGAAACATCTCCAATATCTGTGTTTTTAATAATTCATGTTTTGCAGAAAAAAGCAATATTGTGACAACTCAGTTCTGGTTTTGAAGGTAAAATTTGTGAATTCAGTATCTTGTGGATTTTTCCCCCTTTCTACTTTCAGGTTACTAAACTAGGTAGCTTACCCAACAACATTACAGATATCTGGGAGTTTTTGGGTAAACCTCAACACTGCCGCTATACTTGGGACACCCACTCCAACACCAACCTGGATGCAGGGTACAAGTGCAAGATGAGGTTTGACCGTGTTTACTTTCGGCCTGCCGCGGACGGGGGACATATTATTCCACGAAGTATGGACTTAATTGGATTGGAAAAATTAGACTGTGGCAGATTCCCTAGTGATCACTGGGGTCTTCTGTGTAGCTTTGATGTGATATTATAAAAAAAGAAGAAAGGCTTGCATTGTTAGTTCTTAGGTGAGGTGATCTGTCTTGTTTTTACAAAATTTAACCCTCTGAGTTCAAGTTTTAAATTTTCAACCCTAACGCATTCTCTGCTCTTGACTTAAGCTGGAATGACTTCATTTCAAGCCAGGGTTCCTGTTCCTCGTTGTGTGCATCTGTTCTTGAATCACATTTTTTAAATATTTATTTTTAACAATGTATGCAAATACAAAAACAAATTCTAGTTTTAAAATGGGAGGAAAAACCTGTAAATACAATTCATAAACATACTTGGTGGTTTAAGAGACACTTATTTTGGCATGTAATATAATCTCATAATAAATGATTTTTTTAATTTTAAGAGTACTTTTATTATGTCTGCTTTGTTTCTTTTGTAACCATTTCCATCATCTTTTACGACTCTTGTCTTTTGTAGGGTGTTTTATATTAGCTTCTGAAGTTTGTGTTGCACATAAGTACGTATGCCTTCAGGCAAGACAATAAAGGAGCTGAAGAAGGAATGACTCAGAATAAGGTTTTCTTAAGTAAGAATTAAACTAATACTGAATAGATTTAAGAAAGATATGCCTTCTATTTGACAAGAAAAGTATATAGGCAGAGGCACCGAAGTTGTTCACTTGGGGTGGTGTATACCTTACTTTCTATTTATTAACCTGGATACAACTAGCAGATTAAAGCATGTTATCAAAGCATGTTATCTTTCCAGTGAGCTTCTAGAAACAATGCTCTTGCAAACTGCTGTGCAAAGCCTGAACAGCTCAAGGTCTCAGTGACTTTGCAAAAGATCAAACAGGCTTTTTTAACTTTAAGAACTGTGTAATCAATCCCATAGAAGCTGTTGTGGAAAGCAAGATGAATGTTAAAAGAAGTCTTTTCTCTCCCCTTTTCCTGGCTCGTTGTCACTCCAGGCTCCTCTCCTCCCCCTTGTTATCGCTGTAGATCCCACTCTGTCCCTTCAGCAAGGTAAGGAGCTGCACAGGAGGGGGGTTATGGCCGTGCCCTCCCTCTCCTGCTTCACCTCTGCTCCGGGGTGTGACCTCCATGGGCTCAGGAAGTATGGCTCTGCCATGGAGCTCCTCCTCTGACCTTGGTGTTTCCTCTGCTGTTTCTCAACTCTTCTTTATTCCCTCCTCCTCTGCTTGCCCACCATTTTCTGCCCTTTCTTACGTGCTTTCCCAGAAGTGCCACCATTTTGGCTGCAGGGCTCAGCCATGCCTTAGAGTGGGTCTGCTGGAGCTGGCTGTGTCCGGCACAAGGGCAGCCCCGGCCTCTCCTCACAGAGGCCACCCCTGCAGCACGCCCCTGCCAGCACTTGAGCCCCTGTGCCCACTGCAACTTTAAAAAAAAAAGAAAAGCATCTTCTCGCACAGGCAAAGAGTGGTGGCACTGCCCTGCAGCCCTCCTGGCCCAGCAAGGGAACTCCACTGACTCCATTACTGCTTAGCCTAACACGCCTGCCTGTGTGCTCCGGCCAGGCAAGCACAGGGGAAGAAGTATGTCCAAACATTGCCCTTCCCGCCTCTGTCTTGCACCCTGAAAGCATGGCAAGCAGGGCTTGGTGCAATACCAGGCAGCAGAATACAAGTTTGTGGATCCCTACCCTGAAATAGTCAGGATCCTCTACCAGCTCCTCCTTGTCCCAGGAGCTGGGAGGCCTGACGTAGAAGTGGTTTTCCATTGATTCAACAGGAGGCCTGGGTGACCTTACTAAACAAGCAAATAAACCCCAGGAGGTTAATTCATCTCCACAGAACTCAGCTGCAGAAACATCCAGTTCTGCTTTTGCTTCTTTAAACGTCAAACCCCAAATTCCTTTTGCTAATGGTAAGAGAGGCCGGTCTGTTTTGGGAAGGATGTCCAGTTCCTTGTATCCTGTTCGCACTCGGCATATCCCATTGTTCTGTAATTACCCAGCTTCAAAAACAAGGAGGGAGAAGTCACTGGTACTTAAAAAATTTTAACTCATGTTGGGCCTGTGATCTATTCTTTCTATTCCCGAATAAATAGTTCTATAAAAAAAGTGAAAAATATTTATAACTGCCAGGATTTTCCTTCTGGGTTTAAATTGGGGCTGGCGCAGCTTCTGGTTCACTGCGTGCTCTCTTCTTCCTCACCAGGAGCCTTTGAAGGAATGTCGTGGGGTTTGTTTTCACCACTTACACCTCTTCCCCGATGGCTGCAGCCAAAGGATTTGTGGGGAAGGTGGAGGCAGGGAATAGCAGTTTAATTTTCCTAAAGGTGTTAGAGAAGGGGAAAGCACAGTAAACTCATGCTTGTTGCAAGAAACACCAGTTTATGTGGCCTTCTGTATTACGGCTCCTTTTAGTTTATTTGGCTGCATCGTCTGGACTATTTTGGAAGATATGGAAAAGGGTGATTGCTGTTGTTCTAGAATAAATTTTTAATTTGGAGAAGAAAGAACAGGGACAAAAAGATTCGGCGCAGTGTGTGACTTAGCTCGATGCCTAAACTCTAGACGTCCCTCCTCTGATCAGCAGTCTTTCTTAACCTTTGGAATAGGTAGTGAGTGGGGACTTAGGAACACGCAACGACATAACACTTTGTAAGGGCCAATTCATTATTCTAATTATAAAAGATAGGCAAGAGGAAGACTATATTCAGTGCAATTAGTGGTTAGTCATTCTTTCAGAATGAGGAAATTGCGCATACAGCCTTTAAAAGTCTTCTTGAACTACAAAAGTGATAATACTTAAATAAGTTTAAGAAGACGTAAATGCTAAATGTTTTACTGACTATTGGATGTGAAGCAATACATCTTTAATTAAATGTACTTTAAACCACTTAATAAGCATCTAAATTGCTGACAATCAAGAGCAGTCAGAGCCCTTAAATTAATTTGCCTCTTAATTTAATCAGTGACGTAAAAGGTAAAATATCTGCTGAATACGGCAATTAAAAATTAAAGGGACAGAAACAATGAAGTTAAACCAAGCAAAAGATTTCTTGGCCTACAACTTGTAATTGGATTTGTTTTCCTGATTCAGTAACATAATATTATGGCATCTGTACATCTCAAAGGACTCATACAAACACATGAATGTGAGAAAATGCGATAATTCTCCCCTATTAATAGCAGCTAATTTAACAATATCCCCTAACAATAACAACAGCTACAATGGGCCTTGTGGGAATCATGTACGGTTGGAGACATTATTTTATTAATACTCTGATTTGGGTATCAAATGAAGCAATTTCTTCTGAGGATCTAGTCAGCCTTAAACATTCCTACATCAAGAGCTTGAACCTACTGAAAGAGAAGGCACGTACATAGAACAAAATAAAGAAATGTTAAACATGTAGGGGGGTAAATAATAAATAGATGGATTTAAAAAAATGGAAAAAAATAATAGCAGGCAAAACCACAGTAGCAGTAGAAAACTATGTTATCATGATTGAAAGTATATGCCTAAAGAGTATGTATGCTCTTGACTGTGGGGAGTAATCTGAAACTATAACTAATAAAAATTTGTTTTACAAAGAAGGAAGTGCATGGAAGATTAAAGCTATAAACATCACACATCACCTACAGGTTTGGAAGTCGATTTGATACAAGAACAGACAAAGACGTATCCAAAATTAATGGATCAAAATACAAACGTGATAACCTGTATTATGCCAACACCTGCAGAGCCTTTTGTTGTGGTTGTGTAGAAAGTAAAAGATGAGGATGATTACACAGAAACAGACGGGCTGTGTTTCGATGAGCAAATGGCAGGAGTTTCAGTTGTATTGGCTCAGCGCAGTTGAAGAACTCCACAAAGGTGGCGTTACCGCTTCTGCGTTTCTTCACGTGGTTTTGCCCTGCGGCAGGCAATCCTGCTG